TCGTACGATTTTGATATATACTCGCTTCGTATTGATATTGATATATAGCGCTTCGATTGATATTGATATATATAGTGTAACAATTGCATCATTTTTTTTTACAGTACATGCGCAGCAAAATCACGTGAAGAAACAGAGATCGTCGAGTAATGGATTTTCATGATGGCCCAGAATTTGGCAATTTCTATCGTCCATCGGCAATGTTCTTCAACATTCACCGTAAGAAAGCTCTTTTTAATTAATACGATTTGAATATTGTAATGTTTGACACATGCCCGTGAAAATCTCCTTTGTGAAATCCTCCTCCGTCACGTTGAAATACCCATCATAAAGAGAAACTGCGGCGCGTCAAGGAATCGCCAAAACCTTTGTGAAACTTACAATCTGGACAAAATAGGTTGAGAACGAGAAAAAGCGTTCTTTTTGTCTTTTTTTTTTACTTTTTTTTTTTTTTTTCTTGTATTTTGTTTTATTTTTTTTTGTTTTTTTTTGTTTTGTTTCTTTTTTTTTTTTTTTTTGTTTGTTTTTTTTCTTTTTTCAACACTACACTCCTCCACATCAACCAAAAAGATTATTGTTTGAAAAGTCATTCGATGTATGATTCTGGTGTGTAGGTAGTGGCTGTGTGATCTGTTTTCTCAGTGTCATTGAGTATTTAGGACTGGGTGTATAATCGGTTTATATAAATGCACAGTCAGGTGATCGTCAAATTAGTCGTTCTGTTGGACTGTTATAGGGACATGGATTTCCATATCTTGATCAATGTGCATTTGCGATTTTTGTCGGTTACATTTTTAGTGTTGCTGGCGTTCAACAGATGGGTAATATATACATAAGGTATTGAGCAAATCATTGAATATTTTGATTTTTCTCTTTCTTTTGAAAATTCAAATGTTCCTCCCCCCCCCCCCGTCCCCCGTTCACATCATATTTTTCAATGCAGTGTTTTTGAAAGCACAAATGGCGAACTACTAGTCAACATTGATTCGGAAGGGGGGGGATTCGAATTTACAGGGCACCGTATAAGTGGAAAATTGCAAAAACTTTTTATTTTTCTTAAACAATTTTTGTCTGGCATTGTGTATTATTAAATACGCATAAAGTATTTGAATCCAACCTTCTCGAGTGCTTTTGAGTTCTTAAAGGAGAGTTGGCTGGTTGTACCTGAATCAGATAGAAAATGCCAGTGGCCTCTTTTAGGACAATTTCTGTCCGTTACGGATCGCTTCACAATACAGTTGGAATTTCCCACGCCCTATATTCTTCCCTATTCTTAACAAAAAGCTTACTGGATTCAGTTGAAAACTGTTTGTTTTTTGCAGTCATTAAATGACACTTGATGATCGATTTTGGATGAGAAAAGAAAGAAACAGAATAAACGTATTTTGAATTTTTGATTTGCATGTCACGAAATCATTTATTCCTTTTTTGCTGGCTATGTTTGTCTTAACAACAATTGAATGACAAAACACATGCAAGTATTTGGTATCTATTACTATTTTAATAATTCCAATATAGGCTGCTGTTCAGTTTTACCCTTGTTTGATGAATTTAATTTCTAGAATCTACGTATTCAGCCAAGGAAATACATGGATAATTTACAATTTTACCATTAGTTATTGTGAGTGGCAACTTTGGTAAAACTTGTACGGCTAGAAATTGGGACACTGTCACTGTCCTGGATCTGTTGGTATTTTCCTGAGGTATTATCCGATTTTAAGAGAGACATAGTTATCCTTGTTTCCACAGTCGTGCTATAATCAAGTCGTACGCTTCAAGCGGTTCTTAATACATTATGCCTTGTATTTCTAGCACGTTCTTAACGGGTTGAACTCGATTCTATTGCCCCGTTTTTGTGAAAGAACTTATCTATCAATGTGTAAGTGAAATATGTTTGAAGTTGTTGTGGGATAGTAGAAATTTGTATTTTTCGTAGAAATTTTTCATTGATAAGATGTTTTTCGATTTTTTAGATATGAAGCCGTTGTTGTGTAATTTCTATGAGCTCTGTGTTGCTTGACTGGTAGCTGAGTCCCCTGAAACAGTCATCTCGGTTAGCAATACTAAATCTGCACCAGTAATCTTTCCTCTACGCATGTGATTGGGTAAGCCTAACATACCTACATTTTGCTCGTATTTCGTGATTCGACTGTTATTATCAAAACATGTCCCACACCCCTCTTCTTCAACCGGGTCAAGTTCAGCTTTTTCGTCTGGATCGCACTGCGCAAAATTTATTTTCATTTGAGAGGCAATTCTACCGAATCATGGATCCTCTGCGCCCTTGATTTCTCCTTTGTCCCACTTTGCTGCGCATCCCACCAACGCCCTTAATCGCGAATCATGAAAATGTGTAACTGCAGACATTGCCAAAATGATATATGAAGTGCCAGGATCTCACTTTGGTCTGCCAAGCAAAAAAAATAGGATTTATCTTCTGTTCTGATTGGTGATTGAAACAAAGAAAGACATATTTTGTAAAAAGTTTTTTGCAACTTGCTAGAAGAGCTTAAGAGATAAAGCAAAATGACATTTTATAACGTTTGCATTCTATCGAAGATATTAGTGGTAAGAAAATGCATACGTGCATTTATTTATATTTATTTAATTTGTCTTTTTTAAGAACTACTTGAAGAAATTTCCTCTCTGTAGCAGTTTTAAAGTTCATTCAAAAAAAACGCGCTGCTAGGAAAGTGCGGTCCCGTAAGTTTCAGTGTGAACTTAAGAACCGCCAGCCGAGCCTCTTCCCTTTTGATCAAGTTGAATGGCATTCTACTGTGTCTCCTTCATACCACCCTAAAATCAAATATGATAATGAATTGTTTATCAATGTACATAAGATGCGCATGTATGGCTCTGTGGAAGAATTATGTTTTGTTGACCGCTAAACGGTTAACTTTGCGTGTGATGGAATGGTGATTAATGAGGTACAAAGATATGGTATGTGAGTCTGACAGAATGTACGTGTCTTGTTATGAAGAAACGAATTGGTAAAAACTGGGAAAATACACGTAAATTGCATGCTCATATTCTGTTCACCCTGGGCACCAGAGCTATTAGTTAAATTTAAGTGCACAGTAGAGATAGATTCTGAGAAGCAGTGGAGTGTCGATTTGAGAAAGGGAGGTTCTTCTTCTCATTTAGACTGACAGTTTGATCTCTCTGACGCCTCGAAATTTTTGCGGCTGTACAAGTCCAAAATTTTGTTGAAAGACAGTGCCAAATGAATCAATATGTTACTAATACGTATGAGATCTCAAGTTTCCATATAGATTTTAAATCTTTCATGAACCATTATAGGGCTCTATGATTATACTAAAATAGTTATTTACGCTGGGTATGTCTTAACAATGGCACTCAATTCAAATTATAGGAACCTAAAGGCTCATTTTCCAATTGCCTGCCGTTCATGATTATACATAGGGTTTATCCATTATGTAGAAAGCAGGTCTCGTGAAGCCTGTTACATTGCAAACTCTTAAAGCTTGATTGGCTCCCGTGGTTAATGCCGCATCTGCTTCCCTACTGTAAAGAATTTATATTAATAATGAATTGAAAAAGCAACCTCCTCTTGGATTAAAGACTGATACTTTGTCTATACAGGTTTGATACTGTTGCAAATTTGGTTAAGAAAACGGAACAGCTCAGTGGATAATTTATATCTTCGTGGTGTGGATCGTAAAGTTAACATGAAAAGGAAGAAAGTCCCGCGTTTGATTGGTATTCTTTTTCTAGCCAATCAGCGACCGATAACTCTTTCGATCGGGATGATTCTTGTACTACCCTAAGTGCTTTTGTTTCGTTGCAAGAAGTTTGAACCGATTTGCGAAAACCACATTTCTTTACATCCTTGGGGGTCTTGGTTTTTGCAAATGCGGATCGCTGGCTGTTCTTCGTGTTTCGAACCGTTTTTTCGCCGATGCTCTGCGGAAGTACATGTTGTCTCAATCGGATCGGACTTATTCATCAATTCGAAGATTCACATCTTCACAAAATTTTCCATAGAACGACGTAAATCTATTGATTAGTGAATTTTAATCAATGACAACAACCTGGAGGATTGGGGGGGCAGTTTTAGATCGACTACAATGTTAAGTCACTCATGCAATCAATCGTCTAGGTCTACTAGGTGGTCACTGTTGGTAAACCAAAGAACTCATCTAAATTGCAGGTAATGCCCCAAACATGTCGTGACGACAATTTTAAGATGTGCAAGGGGCAGATGAATTGGAAGAGCATGTGGGGTGGTGGTGAAACCAACATTGTTCCGTAGGGGAGAGGGCGAGGATTGGTTTTAACCTTGGAAATTGATGTCAGTGTTCCAAGACTTTTGGCAGGCATTGTAGCTGTTTCTTTAGCAGTTATGTAGGTGTAGCAAAATACTCAATACCTAGGGATATAAAATACTCCCCAACTTAAGGTTGAGTTGTACTGGTGACCTTTGCAAGGAATACAAATTACAACAATGGTTACGCCTGATTTATATATTGCGATGGTAATTTCAATTAGTCGATTTTAATTAGATTTAATTAGATTTAATTAGCTAGACGCTGTACCAACTTTACATAGAAATAGATAAAAAGTTGCTGCTCATTTTTCAAGAACTTAATAGCAGTCAGGCTTTTATCAGAAATTGCAAATAGCATTGCCAATCAGGCTTTTATTTCGTTTTCGCTATTATTTTTCTATTGTGTTCAAAGTTCTTAGAAAATTTCAAGTGTCGCTAATTGTAGGAACTCGCTAACTTGTGTCCTTTCCTCTGTCTTTTTTCGTCATCATCGTTTTTGAATCGCCTTGCCGAGAGTTCGTAAGTATGACGTCACATAAAAGCTATTTTTAGAATTTTCGAATTTTGACCATATAACATGAAAAAAACACTATAAAACACTTCAGATTATTCAAGATCATTCAAATTTGTCAAAAACCGGGTGAGCTATGGCCATTGAAAGATTTGAAGTTTGCTAACGGATTACTGTTATTTTGGCTCTGTTCATAAAGTTATGATCCAAATTCAAAAATTTTGAAAATATATTTTTGTGACGTCATCTCTTGCTTTGCTTTTGTGTCGTAATCATTTGCTTTGTTTCTGTGACGCCATCACTTTAGAACTCTATCGCTTTGTTTCTTAGATTCGATACAAAGAGAAGCTTCGCCCGTTGCCTTTGGTTTGCACTTTGCTATCAGTTTCCATGTGGGGATGTGCGTTGGTTTTCTTTTTTAAAGGCCTAACAAACTGGCAGGTAATTTGCTGAAATAAATCTATTAGCGGTTGAATTTAACAGCTCTGATGAATTTTTTTATATCAAAAGTCATGTGTGCAAACAAGGAAATTTTTGTAGTATGCATCAATAAAAGATATTGTAGTATGCACCAATATCCAGCTACCATGCCGATGATTAAGTGAAATCACCCATGATGATGAAGTGTATTTGATTTTTCGGATATACATGAAGGAGTTCGGTGATGGCAGTTGAATTTCACTTAACAAATGAATTTCACTATAACACGTGTAGTCTTTGCAATACTTTCATCTCTGAAGATTTATTGCTTAGATAAGTCTTGGAGGCCGTTAAAACTCAAAAAATGTCGTAATATAACAAGTAATTTTTTTTATGGCTGTGATTTCTGCTTCTAAAAGGAACTTGAAGATTAGTGATGGTAAATTTTATAAGTTAAAACCCATCATAATAAATTTCATTTACTTTTGCAGAGAGTTACAATACTGTGAGATAAAAAAAGTCTCATTCCAATGTCTCATATGGTTGCTAAAGTAGTTTCATTTGAATTTCTGATTTTTCCTGGCTAGATTTCCTGATTATGCCATAATTCTAAAGTTCTGCAGAATTAATAAAAATCATAATTTTGCCATGAAAATATCATATATGGTAAAATTAATAATATTGGATCCAACAATTAGCTTTTAATTTTTTTCAAACAAAATGAAGAATTGGTAAAAAAATTTTCATTGTTATCTAGGATAGAAGTGAAACATCAATTAACTATCCCGAGATAATTTTGTACTGAATATTCAATATTTAGCGGCATTCAATATAGAATGCACGGTCGCCAGTCAGTAGATCGCTTCGTATCGATTTTGATATATATCGCTTCGTATTGATATTGATATATATCGCTTCGTATTGATATTGATATATATCGCTTCGTATCGATTTTGATATATATCGCTTCGTATTGATATTGATATATATCGCTTCGTATTGATATTGATATATATCGCTTCGTATCGATTTTGATATATATCGCTTCGTATTGATATTGATATATATCGCTTCGTATTGATATTGATATATATATGTAACAATGCATCATTTTTTTACAGTACAGCCCAGCAAAATCACGTGAAGGAAACAGAGAATGTCGAGTAATGGATTTCTATGATGACCATGACATTTGGCATTTTCTATCGTCCATGGCAATGTTCTTCACATTCACCGTAAGAAACTCTTTTTATTAAACCGATTCTGAATATTGTAATTTTGACACATGCCCGTGACTTCCTTTTGGAAATCTCTCACGTTGATACACAATAAATGAGAAACTGGCGGCCCGTCAAGGAATCGCCAAAACTTTTGACTTACAATCCTGGACAAAAATAGTTGAAACTTTTCAAGAATTTATGTTTTCTCTTTCTTTTGAAAATCAAATTTCCTCCCCCCCCCCCTCCCCCGCTTCAATCAATTTTCAATGCATGTTTTTGAAGCACAAATGGCAGAACTACTAGTCCAACATTGATTCGGAAGGGGGGGGGGGGATTCGAATTTACAGGGGCACCGTAAAGTGGAAAATTGCAAAAATTTCATTTTTCTTAACAATTTTGTCTGCGATTGTAGTATTATTAAATACGCATAAGTATTAATCCAACCTTCTCGAGTGCTTTGAGTTCTCAAGGAGATTGGCTGTTGTACCTAATCAGTAGAAAATGAAGTGGCCTCTTTTAGGGACATTTTCTGTCGTTAGGATCGCTTCACAATACATTGAATTTCCCACGCCCTTATTCTTCCTATTCTTAACAAAAACTCTTACTGGATTCAGTTGAAAAATGTTTGTTTTTTGCAGTCATTAATGACACTTGATGATGATTTGGATGAGAAAGAAAGAAACAAGATAAACGTATTTTAATTTTTGATTTGCATGTCACGAAATTATTCCTTTTTTGCTGGCTATGTTTGTCTAACAACAATTATTGAATGACAAAACACATGCATATTGTATCTATTACTTAATTTTAACTAAATTCCAAATATAGCTGCTGTTCAGTTTTACCCTTGTTTGATAATCATATTCATAGAATCTACATTACCAAGAACATACATGGATAATTACATTTAACCAATTAGTTATTGTGAGTGGCAATCTTTGGGTAAAAATCTTTACGGCTAGAAATTGGGACACTGTCACTGTCCTGATCTGTTGGTATTTTCCTGAGGTATTTCCGATTTAAGAGAGACATAGTTATACCTTGTTTCACAGTCGTGCTATAATCAGGTCGTAGCTTCAAGCGGTTCTAATACATTAATCCTTGTATTTCTAGCACGTTTCTTAACGGTTGAAATCGATTCTATTGCCCCTAGTTTTGTGAAAGACTTATCTATCAATGGTAAGAAATATGTTTGAATTGTTGTGGGAAGTAGAAATTTGTATTTTCGAGAAATTTCATTGATAAGATGTTTTTGATTTAAATGAACCTTGTTGTGTATTTTCTATGAGCTCTGGTTTGCTACTGGTAGCTGAGTCCCACTGAAACAGTCATCTCGGTTAGCAATACTAATCTGCACCAGTAATCTTTCCCTACGCATGTGATTGGGCAGCCTTAACAATACCTACATTTTGCTCGTATTTCTGATTCGACTGTTATTATCAAAAACTTGGTCCCAACCCCCTTTCTTCAACGGGTCAAGTCAGCTTTTTCGCTGGATCCGCACCCGCGCAAATTTATTTTCATTTGAGCAGGCAACTACCGAACATGGATCCTCTGTTGATTTTCTTTGTACTTTGCGCGCATCCCACGCACCTGCCTTAATCGCGAATCATGAAAATGTAACTGCAGAATTGCCAAGGATATATGCAGTGCCAGGATCTCACTTTGGTCTGCCAGCCAAAAAAAGAATAGGAATTACCTCTTCTTCTGATTGGTGAGAAACAAAGAAAGACATATTTTGTAAAAAGTTTCTTTGCAACTTGCTAAAAGCTTAAGAATAAAGCAAAAAATGACATTTTATCAACGTTTGCATTCTACGAGATATTAGTGTAAGAAAATGCATACGTGCAAAAAATTGCTTTTTAAGAATATTGAAAAAATTTCCTCTCTGTAGCAGTTTAAGTTCACTTCAAAAAACTGGCTGCTAGGAGTCGTCCCGAAGTTTCAGCTTGAACTTAAAACCGGCAAGCCGAAGCCTCTTCCCTTTGATCACAGTTGATGCATCTACTGCTCCTTCATACCAACCCTAAAATGATATGATAATGATAATGTTACAATGTACAAAGAATGCGCATGGTATGGCTCTGGGGAACAATTATGTTTGTTGACGCAAACGGTTAACTTGCCGTTGATGACTGTGATAATGATGTACAAAGAATGGGTATGGTGAGTACTGACGAGAAGTGTACGGTCTGTTAATAAGAAACGATTGGGTAAAACGGGAAAAACACGTAATGCAATGCTCATATTTGTTCACCCTGGGCACCAGAGCTATATTAATTTAAGTGCACAGGTAGAGGATAGGATTTGAGAAGCAGTGGAGTGTCGATTTGAGAAGAAGGGAAAGTCTTCTTCTCATTTAGACGAAGTTTGATCTCTCTTGACGCGCTCGAAATTTTGCGGCTCTGGTACCAAGTCCAAAATTTGTTAAAACAAGTGCCAATGAATCAATATGTTACTACATACCGGTATGAGACCAGTTTCCATAAATTTTATCTTCATGGAACCATTATAGGGCTCTAGATATAATGAAAATAGTTTATTTAGCTGGTATAAACAAGGCACCAATTCAATTAAAGGAAAACTTAAAGGCTCATTTCCAATTGCCTGCCGTTCATATTATACAAGGGTTTATCCAATTATGTAAAACAGTCTTCGTGAGCCCTGTTTACATTGCAACTCTAAACTTTGATTGGCCCCTGGTTAAGCCTACTGCTTCGCCTACTGTAAAGAATTTTATAATAATAATAATTATAAAAGCCAACCCTCCTCTGGATAAAGACTGAACTTTGTCTACAGGTTTGAATTTGCAAAATTTGGTTCAAAAAAGCGGAACAGCATTGGAAATTTATATCCAGGTGTGGATCGAAAGTAACATGAAAGGAAGAAAGTCGCGTTTGATTGGTTATCTTGTTTCTACCAATCAGCGACCGATAACCTCTCATCGGGATGATCTTGACTACCCTAATGCTTTTGTTGTTGCAAAGTTTGACCGATTGCGAAACCACATTTTACTTGGGGGTCTTGGTTTTTGCAAATGCGACCTGGCTGTTTTCTTTTCGAAACCGTTTTTCGCCTGATGCTCGCGGGAACATGTTGTTCAATTCGATCGACTTATTCATCAATTCGAAATTCACATCTTCACAAAATTTCATAAACGACTAAACTATTTGATTAGTTGGAATTTAATCAAAGACAAAACCTGGAGGATTGGGGGGGCAGTTTAGATCACTACAATGTAAAGCACCAGCAACAATCTCTATGGTCTCATCTAGTGGCACGTTGGTAAACCAAAAAAACTCACAAATCCAGAATGCGCCAAACATGTCGTGACGACAATTTTAAGATCAAGGGGCAGAGAAGGAAGAGCAGGGAGGTGGTGGT